CATCATCATCATCATCATCATCATCATCATCATCATCATCATCATCATCATCACCATCATCATCATCATCAGTATGTAATCGTCCTCCATTCTAGTCCTCAGATTTCTGCCACTCATCGTTTGCACAAAGTCTCAGAGAAAAGAAATCCTCTTTTGATCATCGTGACAAAAAAACAAACCCAAACAAAAGCAAGATGGCCGATGTATTTTTCATAAATTTGTCGGAAACAACGACGTCAAATATTATGGAGGTCTGCACGTGAAAAGAGAACTCGCATAGACTTAACAGGATCTCTTCAAAGAGTCAAAGAGAATCCTTCCCAGACTTTGAGAAAACGTCAAGCAAAAAACCCAAAACACAACAACAACAACAACAACAACAACAACAACAACAACAACAACAACAACAACAACAACAACAACAACAACAACAATAACAACAGCAACTGGCCAAAATGCTTCGTCAACTTGTGGGAAACCCCGGAAAAATCCAGCAACAAGAACTCGACTCACAGACCGCCGCCTCAACATCCGGGGAGACGTCACTGGCTATCAAAGATGGCGGCCAGAGGGGCAGAAGTCCCAGCATGAGTCTCAATCTCCACGGCAACGCTTCGCCCCGCCCCTCCATCTCCCAACAGCCCCGCCCCTCCATCGTGCCGACGCGAGGGCCGTCTCTGATTGGTCTGCTGGCCACCAAACGTTTTGTCAAGCAGCTCGGGACGCGCGTGGCTCGCCGGCGGTACGGCAGTTTCCTCGGCGGCTCGTCCAGGCTTTCCCACAGCAGCAACATCCAGAAGGAGCCTTCCTACCGCATGACCCCGCACAGGAAGTTTGACTGCAAAAAGGTGAATTACTACTTCTCAGTGTCGGTTTTTTAAAATATCATTTAGGAGGTGGGCTTCCTACCCTGCCTGTCAGGGCTAACCCGGGCTGAGAGGGACATACACCATCTCAGCAGAAAGACAGAGATGCTCAATAAAAAATTCCTCCCCCCTCCCTTGAGAATCGAACTCGGGTCTTTTGCGTACGACAGCGAAACGCCTAACTACTGCACCGCAGACACCAATGCAGAAAGGGGATACGTATTCTAAATACGGCCGCCACCTGCATAAAATTCACAAGAAATTAATTTACTTACCATTAAATATGTGAAATAATTCAGACACACCCGTAAACTTTCCATGATTCCAACCGTGCTGGTGATGTCTTTCCTTAAAAACATGTCTATGAAACTAAAATCTGAAGGGAGGGAAGTGGTACTTGGGCAATCAACTTCCTCAATATCTTCTACCCGGGCAAAGCTAAATCCTGAATATTATTATACTGTTTTAAGATGGTCAGTCAAGACACTAAAGATCATAGTGTTCTTCCAGTTGGAAGATCAACTTGTTAAAAAAAAAAATTGAATGTAAAAGAGAAACTTATTGTCGAAAAGGTATCGGGGATAAAATACCGGTAAAAGACAAAACAGGCAGGTAGATGGACAAATAGACAGACAGACGGACAAATAGGCGGGCTGACAGACAGTTAGTAGACAGGCTGACGGACAGATAGACCAATTAATCGGCTTCATTTCTCCGTAATGTTACAATTCTCTTAGCAGTTCTCTTTTGTGCAAAGCTGCCGACCAGTGTGAGGGTCTGACTAAACTAATGATTGAACCCCCCCCCCTCCGCCCTTGTCTCAGACACACTCGTACACAAACATATAATAAAATAGATGAAGGCACAGAGACTGCTCGGAGATACATGCGAAGGTTACAGGGGAAAAACGAATGTTGTCACAAACTTAAAATCGTGATGGTACCAATTTTGAACGCTTGTTGACTCATAACTGTATTTCTGTTCAACTGTTGGTTGATTATTGTTGTTAGATTTTCCATTCAACAACACTTAACAATAAACCACCAGTCTAACAAATATGAAGTTATGAGCCCACAAGCTTTTAAAATTGGCACCCTCGCAATTTCCAGTTTGTGACTACTGCCGTTTTTCCTCAGTGCGCTTCATGTACTTTCAGGTCAAATACATGTAATGAGGTGGCGAACAGCGAATAATGTACATTCATAAAGTGCAATGATCGGACTTGGTTATAATGTACTCACGTAATACGGCTATCGTTTAAGACAAAAACATATGCAAAGTTCCAGAGATTTGGAAATGAACAAGAAACAGCATATTATATAAATGCTAGAAAACAAAACAGACAAACAAGCACACAATGAAAAAAAATGACAACCCCCCTCTCCGCCTAGTCAGAATACACACATTAATCAATTTTTAAGATTTATAAAAATATTGGAAAGCGTCCACCTCTGTCCTCCTTTTCCCCAGGTAGAGGAATGTATCAGAGAGGTCCTGGAAGAGAAACTGGAAAACTTCCCTTACAACCCGAAGTTCTGCGCCAACATGTGCAAAGTTCTCAGCGACGAGATAAAGTCAGAGGTCAAGGCCATGAACTTTGACCGCTACAAGATCGTGTGCACGGTTCAGATTGGTCAGCGGCGAGACCAGGGGATCTACGTCACCAGTTTGTGTGCGTGGGACGAGAAATTGGACAACTTCGCGTCATACACGTTCAAAAACGACAAGATCTTCTGCACAGCGCTCGTGTTTGGGATCTACAACGAGTAGACTGTGGGGTTGGTGGGGAAAATAAACCTGGACCTCCCATAAGACGTTTATCTGTTTAAGACAACCACTTTTCTCCTAGAGAGTTAATGGTGGCTGTCTAAGATGATTTCGGCGGTACTTGATCTTGAGGGCAACATTCGGGGTCACTGTTGGGGTCGGGGTGTGGGGGGGATAAGGACAATAGATGTTTGGTAGGAAAGAAGAAGCAAACCCCACCAGAGCACCCTCCAACCACCCACTGGTATATTTGTGGATATTAATTCCCAAGACACACACCCGTAGTATAATTTTGACTGCTGGTGATTAAAAAAAACAACAAACAAAAATACAAAAAACCCAACCCCCCCAACTCCCTCCCCCACCTCCAGAAAGAAACCACACAACCAAACAATAAAAAACAACAGCAACAACAACTCCAGAATAATCTACACAGTTTTTAACAAAATAATCTACACAGTTTTTAATCCGTTCACCGGAATTGTTTTTCATACATTCCAGACTCACAAACGATTATGAACTGATATTGATATTATATAATTTTTGTCTATGGTCGAGTAAAAGAATTACAGTATATTTTTCTTGAATTAGGTTAATGTGACAATGCCACACAATTCTATGTAAATGTGACAGCTTTCATCTAGGGTAAATAAAGTACACGTACTTTTATTATCGCCGTGGGTAAAATTAAAATTATTATGATGGTGTGATATTGAGTCCAGGCTGTTAGCTAGACTGCTTTTATCATGTGTCGTTAGTAAGCGTGGTTTGTTCAATGGCTTTTCAAGGATCGACATTTTATTGGGCCGGTTTTTTCGGAGACGGACATTTTAATTCCAAGCTTACTAATCTAAGATGATCTTGTTTTAGTAAGAGTCTTACGGCACTTGCAGCACATTAAGGTCATATAAGTACAGAAGATTAGAGGTGTTAAAAGAGAGTAACAAACACAAAAAAGAAGGAGGAGAGATATGGATGATTGATGTTTGATAGCAAAGAAGGAGCAAACTACACCAGAGCACCCACCAACCACCCACTAAGATGGTCTCACAGCGATGAAAGGGTCGTAGTCCGTGTAACAAACCCTGTAGAAATCGATGACTCGCAACTCCGAGAAATATTTGGTTGTATTTTTACCCGCCCTGTTGTCACCATCAGCCTCCCGTTAAAAAAAAAAAGATTTAGGTACCAATCAACACAGAAGATCGAGAAACTCGATAAAAATTTTCCCATTCGGGGATGGAACTCGGGTCTCCTACGTGAGCGCCTAACCGCTTGACCACGGTTGATATATCAATAATAAGAAATAAATAACATTTATTGTATAGCGCATACTATGTGCTTTACACCATATTATTACCCCAGCAGACCTTATAACATTCAGAAACATTCTCGGCTTCCCAAGTAACGTACAGTGCTAGCAGCCGATAAAGCGCTCAAGCAGTATATCAGTGCTTGTCAACCTTTTTTTATAGCCAAATCCTACTTTTGCCAGCATTTTTTATGCTAATATTTTGGTTCCACCCACCTAAATGCATTTTTAAGAAGGGCATTAATACTACTACTACTACTACTACTACTACTACTACTCCTACTCCTCCTCCTCCTCCTCC